GCGCTTCCGCACGTATAACGCGTCCGAATTCGTTATTTCGTAATATATGAGATATGAGATATGAGATATGATTATGAGATCGATTGAACCACATTTAATGTTTTTAATTTTAATTTTAAACAACCAACAATCAAAATTTCTTAAATTTAAAAATATTCAAACCAAAGTTGTAGGATTTACGGATCAAAATTTGGAAAATTGGAGTAATTGATCTCAAATAAATATAATAAAAAATTTTAAACAGTTTTCATAAGTCTTTTGCATCATTCTGTCAATCAGTATGATTGACAAAAGAGAGGTTGAAATAATCTACGGTGTGCAATGCCTTTAAGTTGAAAGGCAGTTTGGGTCTTTTAGTAGTGATTTCTACTGATTAAACTTTTAACCGTTAAATTCGCTAAGTCTTGTATCGTATTGTACCATTTCAAACTTCCTAAAGTCGTAATCACCTAAATTAATAATTTGGTATTCTATTACATTAGTACCTATATATGTAATGCTAAATAATCTATCTTCTTTACTAATAAGCAGATATTTATTGCTAATATATTCAATACAGTCTTTGAACCTTAATTATAAAAAATAATAAAAATTTAGATTCAATTTTTTATTTTAAACACTATTTTTATAGTAATGATAAAAAAATTTTACTTATAATAATTTTAAATATTAAATATAGGACGATAGCATTCTAAAAAAAAATTAAAATAAAAATAATGTGATTTACATTGTAGATAATTAATTATTAATATTAATTAATATAATAATTAATATATTGTTCATTTTCTTATAATTAGAAATCTAGATTCTTAGATTAAAATATTGAATATAAATTTTTCTTAGCATCTTACTCATGTGAGATCGAAATACAATACGATCAACCTAACGTACTTAATATTTTTAAATTGAAAATGATAATAAATGAGAACATTTGAAGGCAGTTAGATGAATATATGTAATAACACATAGTATAATTTTCCTATATTATATTGTATTGACTATACACATAATTGCATAATTGTAAATTAATAATTAAACGATTGGCGTGATTAGCGTGTCTATTATATGATTGATAATATTATTTTTGCTGTAATTATATTAAATTGTAAATTTTACACACAAATATTTTCTAATTTATCTTTTATCGATTTATTAGGTTAAAACGAACTCATTGGTTTAATATAAATTTTATTTTAAAAGAGATGGTAAGTAATGCGATAAAATATTTAGAATTGAATAATACAGAGCATGTCAAGGGTTAAAAGTGTGCAAAGAGAAGTATTAAAATAATAGAATTTGTGAAAAAATACACGGAAATGAAGCAGTATAATAAAAAATAAACATAATTTAAATTTGAAAATAATAAAAATGATAAAAATAACTGAATAAACTAGTATTCTATGTGATTTTGAATAATGCTTTGTTTATGGGATTGATTTATTCCAAACGGGAATTAATTTTTTTTTTTTTATACGCATTTTTACTGAAAATTATAACATTTGAAATCTGAATAAATTATAAGTATTAATTATAAATATAAATAGTGAATTCATTGAAAATAAATAACTAATGATTCAGATAACCTTTTTAAGAGGCATTATCCATTGACAGGAACTTAATTAAGTAAATTCCAACATATCAAGGAGCATTAGTGACGAGGAATAATTGGTTAAAAAATCCGTATCGATTTTAATTGGATTGCTAATATGCCGTTTTTGGCAATTGTATGCCCAAGTGGATTTTAAAATGTACTAATAAACAAGATCTAGCTCATTATGTATTAGAACTTTAAGTCTTTAACTATATCGTAACAAATAAAATAATCCCATTTTAAATGTAAATTTTTAATATTGGAAAATACGACTATTTGTGTAGTTTGAGTTAGGTAATCGAAATAATTGTATGATAATTATTATTCAATTTTATAATAAGCTCAAATTGTCGGAAATTTTTTTAATTTCATATGCACTCATGAAAATAACAAAATAGAATAGAAAGTAATCGCCGACTTGTGGAAGGTTTGAAACGATAAGAAATTATTTTTTTAATTAACCGATAAGAAGACTGAATTATAAATAAAAAATATTAAATATCAGCAGATTGCTTAACTAAGATGAATTAAGATTAATTAATTAAGATAAATTGATGTATGACTAGTACATATGTATGCAGCAGGGGCGTACTTATGGGGTACTGAGAGGGTCTCAGCACCCCGAGATATCAGAAAAAATGTTAAGTTTTTATTTACCTTATAAAATGTAAATTGTTAAACCTCATATTATAACTTTTTTTATGAATTATTAGTTTCAAATTGTTCATTTAATGCATTATACCTATTAATTATTATATAGGCATTTAATTTCATGCATATTGTAAATGATGATTGAAATAATAATTTTTGTTTTAAATTGGTTGAATTATGAAATTTTGTTTAAAGAAAATTCCTTAGTTTTCAAAAAAAAAAATCTAAATGCAAAGCAAAGTAAATTTAGCACTAGAATAATGAAAAAACAAGCATACTTATGTCTTGAGAATAAATATACAACTGAATATTAATAAAACCAACAATGCCACGTTATAATTATATTTAACATCAATTGGATCTGCACTAATATCAGCAAATTAAATTAAAGGACATGAAATCATAACGGGGTTTTGCTGATTTTATTAATATTCAGTTACATATTGATTCCGGCAGGAAATAATAACGTTAGTTTTTGTCATTGTTCCGGTGCTAAATTTACTTAATTTAGATAATTGTTATCCGATTCACAATACGTGATTATAAAACCTAATCGTCAGAGAAGAACAACATATAGATGCGTCACTAACAACAAAATACTGGACGAATTTGATTCATTTTTGTTACGGACCTACTTGTATTCATTAAAACATACGTATCAGATACTAGTATAGCTGATATAAAAAGGAAAAAAATCTAGAGTATTTGATAACTATAATTATCAAATGGTTTTTCTATACTCTTGTTTCAAACATCTTTAAAATATAAACTGATGTTTCGTGAATATTGTGCATATATTTTGCATGTTATACAATTATTATTAATCTTACTATTATACAGTAAAATTGCATTATTTAATAATTTCTTAATAATATATACAATATAATGTCATAATACTAAGAATATAAAATACACCGTGGAGGTTTATTTTACGTCATTTTACGCGTTAGTTATTCTACATGAATATTTTATACTCATCTTAATTCAACGACAGAACTTATTTACGTGGTGATTAAAAAGTTGCTGTAAGAGAATATTATTTATATACAGATTGGAAATAATTTTGTTTAAGGGAGTGAAAATTGTTTATTTGAATCGTAGTTAAATATATGAACTATTACTGTTATGAAAAATAAATTCCATTGACATTTATAAATACCTTAGTTACAATATTACTTGACATGATAAATTAGTGAATCGTGTTTTAAATGGGTATTCCAATGAATATGTATTAATGGCATAATAAAATATCACAGGTTTCAAATTATGAGTTTCTGTTTTATTACCACCACTGCAATAATAGTCAATAAATGTAGTGACCCATGTAAACACAATTTATAGATTATAATTTGAATGATGCATACGCTTGGTTATTCTACAGGATTTATATTTAATTTTAATTTTATATTAAAGCATAACATCTGCATTTTTATTTTTACAATGTATTAGTATAAAAATAATAAATTAATAAATATATACATAAATCTATACGAATATTGGGTATTTATCATTCGTATAAAAAATAAAAAAGAAGAATATTGAATAATAAAGAATAGTTTGAATTTAAAAATTAACTATATAAATATTTTTGTTAAATTAATTGTATCATTAAAATTTTATCTGACAAATATTTGATTTTTAAAAATATTATAGATACATATATAAAAATTATATGAAAATAATTCTTCGATTCCCACAAAAAGTTTTTAATGGATTTTATGTAATAAAGTAAAATTTATGAATTTTTTAATATAAATGTTAACGAACAGCTAAAAAAGTCTATTGTCGTTAGGAAAAAAATATAAATGTAATAATTAAAATAATTCTTTAAAATGGTTCAATTTTTTTTCGGAGAATGTTGATGTGTTAAATCAAAATTGTTTAAAATAAAATAAAAGTAGAAATAACATATATGTAAACACGCTCGTTTTCAAGTAAACAAAGCTCTTTTTATATTAATTTTTAATTTCAATAATTTAAGATTTATTTCAAATATAATGATATCCATTTAAGATAGGAGAAGCATTAAATAAATTTATTTATTAAATATTTATTCGATTCTCGAATTTTATTTTTATAAAACAATTTTTTTTTTTTGTACTTGGTAATTAACTGAACTTTATTATTTTTTTATTCCTTAGAAAACGACAATATTTATATTTTTTGTGTATGAACACGTAAACCTAAGATATACTGGAATTGACTAAGCCATCAGAGCTTATGTGTCATTTAAGTTGATAGCATGATATTTCATACATAAGCAATTCGAAATAGAGGATAATTTATACAACGGAATGTATAGAATTAAAAAAAAAAATGATTCACTTGAATAATAAATTATTTTTTGACTATGATTTTTGTGCTCATAGCTCTTTCAAAATTAATTTTATGAAATAAAATAAATAAATAAAATTGTAAGTTTATGGAAATAACTTTATGCTTGTAATCTAAAGAATAAAAACAATTACGAGTAGTTTTCCCTGTTTCTATAAAATATACTGTTTTAAACTCATAAATGATGGAAAATAACCCAATATGGTACAAAACCTTTAAAATTTAGATTTATTTTTATAATTATTTGAGTTTTTATGTTGATTTTTCATCACAAAAAAAATATATACACTGCTGTTAAGAGACCCATTATACAATTAAATTAAAAATGTATATCCAATTACTTATATGGAATTCGAATATGCCAATAGCTTAATTATAACACAAACAATTAACCAATTGATTGATTTACAAGAAAACCACTTACCTGTTGCTAGTTGAGCATGATGGAATTGGCATACTGCATCAGCTTCAAACCATGTCACTCTGTCTCTGAAATGTCGATAGAATACCGGAAACTCGTTCTGTGGCAACAACCAAGAACTACTAATGTTCACCTAAAATCAACCATAACACAGTTTCGATCAGACTAGTTGGGTAAAAATAGTACATAACAATCATATCAATAGAGTGTTATAAAATTCACTATTAAACGAGTTTAATAGGTAAAGGGAGACAAATTTGAGTGTAATTTATTTTTTTTTTTTCCGACACAAGTTTAAATTGTTTAGCCATCAATTACAGGTTTATTTTTTCACTGAAAAAAGTAATTTGCGGCTGATTTTCCAATACATTTAGCTTGTTGTTTAAATTCTTCATTAGTTCGGGATGGTAATCATTATGAATAAACTAAAACTATTGTTAATGGTGAAATAGAAAAAAATAAAATCATTCAACTTCATCATGTATTGTATTATGCAAACGAACTATAATAATATGTGTTGTGCTACTTTTTATGTTGATGATAATAAATAAATAATAAATAATCGGAGGAAAATCGAGATCATTTTTAGTGAATTTAGTATTCTAACGTACGTTTAGAAAAAGCATTCTCTCTAAATATATTTAATATAAGTAAATGTAAACATATACATAAAATAAAATAAATCCACAGTAAAAGGTTTCTAAGATTTCACTGGCACCGTTTGTTTGTTCAGTTACCGTTATCAACGCGTCGCACAAAATGTACGGGTCGTATTTGCAGTATATTTATCTTGGTCAGACAGCTATTACGAAGGAAACGGCGTAAACTATAGATTTGGGATACGAGGGAGTGGAAGAAAGAGTGATTGAGAGCAAGAGAGAGAGAGAGAAAGAGAGAGAAGGACACTGTGCAAAAAAACGGATTAAGCAAATAAATAATACGCAGATATATTATTATTTTTATAAAATGTTCTCGAGTCATTATGAAATCAAGATGCGTTTTACAGCTGTGGCGCCCAAAGTCTGTCGTAAAACAAGATGTTATGGCTTCAGAGGAGTAACCGCTGAAACTTTAAATACATAATATACTCTATAAATCCAGCCGGTGGCGATGGCGATTCGTTGTGTTGGCATTAAATAATTCTATATTAGACATTGTCGATTTGTTACGCACGAGACCTCCAAAATAAACGGAGTGAAGACATTTAATGAAATAAATCATGTATTAAATATTAAATTTAATTCGTCCTATTTTGGCTGTCATGGCTCACTACGTATTATAATTACGAGTAAAATACATTTGACTACCCGTTCTTACTCAGTCCATTTTAGTAATAAATAACGTATTTTGTTCAATAAAAGTGTACGATTTTTCAGTGAAACATTAACGTACCGCAAAAATGTCATCACAAAAACATGCGTGCATCAGGCAAATGCGCGTAAAACTTTTTCTCAATTTCTACCGAATTTTGAATTTATAGAAAATAAATATCATAGTGAATAAAAATTGATTAAGAAGCCTTCATAATAAATCAATGAATGTTATATTAATAATTAAAATATCAGTTTGTAAAGATGCTCACCATGTTTTTATACATAAATTATGGATTATTTCAAAATTTTGATTTATGGAATATCTATTTATCTAATAAATAAAGAAATATATATTTATTTATAAGACTTACTATCCCATATATCGATTAGTGGTAGTATTAACTTTTGTTTTTCAAATGGTAATACCATTTTTTCACAGAATTTAATTATTGAAATTATTAACAGTTTATTGTAATTAATCATTCAATTCATTTTTTTGAAACCTAACTTAACCTACCATATCGTGAATATAATGTAAATATTTATCGTGATAAGAATATTTTACAAAGGAAAAACATAAAATTTAATTTTAATATGCAACTTTAAATTTGTATAATTGTAATAAAAAATGAAATATTTACTTTTTTGATAAAACAAATAGTAAAAAACTGATTAAATAACTATTTGCTTGGAAAAATAACGTTCTTATTTGATAAGAAAAATTCGATAATGTCACCAAGTACTCATAAATAAGTATAAAAAATCAAGTATTGTTTCATAATATGGTATACATACCTACGTTTTCTATAAATTAGAATTTGAATAAATGCATACATTATGCCTAAAAAAGGAGTATGCCTACAAAATCACTATTTTTATTCGTGATTTCAATACAACATGAGTAATGTATCAAAATCGTATAAAACATGTAGGACGATAAAAAGTTATACAGTTTTGTCCAGCTATAAATGTTGTAACCAGGCGTCATAGGTATGCAATATGAGTACATTGATGTCGTTATCACCAATGTCGTGTATTAGATTTAATTTTATATTATGTAAACTAAAATTATTAAATCATGATTTTTAATAGATCGTTTATAAAATGTGGCGTTATCACTGACTAAATTTACTATTACTAGAAAAACTCTTATTAATTAAACTAATGTTAGTATAAATATGTTATAATTATATTTTTTTCGATTACTTTTATACTTTCCAAGAAGATGATATGTAGTTTATAAAAAAAATATATATATATACATAAAACAAAAACTATAAAAGCTTTAGAGAAAATCATGATATTTTTGAAAATCACATAATTAATTATCAGTTTTTAGCATCAGTGTTTTCTTATAATTACAATGTGGTTCCTCGTATGGATACGTATTTTCAAAATGTCAATTCATTTTTTCAAATATCTCTTTACAAACATATTAATACATTGTTATTACAGTAGATATTTTGATTTCAACAGTAAAATAACTTGCGTTCAATTTCTGGTATTATATTGCATTACAAGAATCGTATTTTTAATAAACTGAATAAGCATTGAGAATCCAATACACCACGATCAGAAACTAAAGGGATAATTTATAGATACAAATTCGCAGGACTATATGTTTATGATAAATGATGTATTGATATAATATATAATATAAGCCTATATTTGTGGTACATCAAAATTTTATTGGTGGTGGAAAATTTCAGAACAATTATTTGTTCACACCAATAATGGACGTTTATTCAATAGGTGTTTAAATGTTTGTTTTTGAATTAGATATACTATCTTTATTTTAAAAATGTAAACTTTATGTAAAGACTATAATTATTATTTTTTTTTTCAGCATACATAATCTTGGTCGAAACCCCATTTCCGTGGTGTGGATTTTCAGTCGTGATTCAAGGATTGTGTGTATAAATAGAGGGGTCCGCTTGTTGGCGGAATAAAAGAATAATTGAAGCATGGTTTTGAACAAAACATACGATCTCTACCTAATGAACTGCGAGGCCGCGCTAAAAACACGTGTATAAAATCATAATTGGTAATTAACACGATTCGTACGGAATTTAATGTAATTGGTCCATTATTCTCCCGTGCGTTCCGTACATGTCCAGCCACACATAGCGCACATAACAAAAATTTTTGAAATGCACATCACATTATAAGTATAGTTTTATGCTGTACGTTCGCAGATAGTTTTGTTCCATCAACAATTAATTAAACCCTCTGTCGAGCATGCGCAGCTCATAAAATATAATGTTAATCACGCATTGCATTCACAGCGGATCATTATGTAGTTGCACGTTCAGCTGCTAATTATTCATTATCATTACAATAAATTATGGTTTGATAAACTCGACGACGTTAAAGGTTATCACAATGATTATTTGAAGTTTTGGCTGTTGACCGTGTAGATAAAATTACCTTTTATAACTAACTTCTGTAGGCATTTTTGTTTTCAAATCAAACACACTTTAATGGAAATTCGATAAAATTTGTTTATTAAATTTTTTTTACGCCATAATATTCTTATGAAAAATAACGGTTAGAAAATACACGTTTTAAACAGATAACAGATCATGTATAAATAATAAACGTGATAAATATGTTATGTACGAAGTGAAAGTATTTTTAAAAACAATAATATTCTATTAAAAATTATTAAAATTAGTTTTGAAGTATTGATATTCGAGAAACTACATAAATATTGCAGAGAATAAATATAAATTAGTTGATACAAATAACTGATACTATAATATTTAATGGAAAAGTATAGCCTTGTTGTTAAATTTAACAATAATTTATTCGTTTAGGGAACACAAGTTGATATTTTATATGCATGATGAATATGAAATTACAACATAATCCCGAGACAGTTTTGTGTTCATAAAAAACTTTCTTTAACTTATAATGGATTTCAGTATTTTGACAATTTTACAGTTGAGTAATTAATTATTTAATTCCGAGTTTAATTAACCATGCTTTTCCTAAAAAGTTTTTTGGTTAGTAAAATGTTAATAGTTTTTAATTGGCTGAAACAATGTTTCACATCATGATATTTAGAAATATTTTATGTATTCTCGTAATTATTTTCATTCGATACTGGGGTTTAAATTTATAAAAACATTTAGTTTTCTGATAAAATATTCTTAAAATTATTTAATATTATAGGATTTCAACAATATCGTCACTAGATACCCTTTTATTCATTCGTTTTTTTTTTTTACAATTAAATATTTTATGGTTATAAATTATGTTCAATTGATATAAGTTAATATTCATGTTTCCTGAAATTATTAGATAATTTTACAATGGTAATAATAAAAAGGTTCTAAATTTATTCACACGAAGATAGTAAAAAATAAAAAAGTAAGATATAACTAAAATAACCAAAATCATAATAAATGCGTAGCATGTGCGTCATACTTAAATAATATATTTTGCAAGTAGCATTACATTTTAAATGTAGCTATCGAATAAGTAATTATATTTTTAAAAAACTATGACTCTTTATTTAATGTTCAATTATTCACTGAAAGAGTAGGCACACTCGTTTTCAGTTTTAGTCATAATTTTGATCCAATTAAATAAACTATTTAAAATAATTCGTAGGAACTACTTTATTTATAATAATATTAATAACAAGTACGATTTTAAATTTATACACATATAGTATAGATAAGCATAGTAAATACTTTCTGAAACTTACAAGAATAACTATAATAAATCCAACAAATAAATAAAGATTTTAGACATTTAATTACTCTTATCTTTAAACTTTTATATTGTAAACAATTAATGTCTCAGAAAAGTATTG